GGCTGTGGGCAGCCCGGACACAATGGGCAGGGCGTGGCCAGGAGAACCTTCTTACATGCCCATAGTTCTGCACACTTGCTCCAGGGTTTCCCTCTAGCCTCACGCTTCTCATGGCCTTCCTTGCTCACCTGCCGGAGTCCAGACTTCTTCCTTTGCCGTTACAGCCCTTCCTGCCTTCTCCCATAGGAGGTCAGGGGTCCACTTGCTGCTCATTCGTTCATTTGTTGTTACTATTATCAATATTATAATAATCATTATGATTGGAAATATCTATGCTTATTATTTAAAATATTAATTTTAATTCATTACTATTAGATTGTTGGGAAAGTCTAACATATTTTAAAATATTTTTCTATGCAAAAATGTATCATGACTTTCCCGGTGACCCAATATATATTATAATAACAAATAGTGTTAATAAAATGTGATTAATAGCAGAAAACGGGCTGTGGGGTCAGACAGGACAGGCTGGTAATCCTAGTCCATGGATTTATCAGCTGGAGACTCTGACTGAGTGACTTTACCTCTCTGAGTCTCAGTCTTCTGTCCTGTGTGATGGGGATGATGGGCCCTGCCTTGCCTCCCTTTCAGGACTGCATAAAGAGAACATGAAAGCGCATGGAGGCCCTTCCCTTAGCGTTCTGCTCTTAGCCAAGGGCTCCATAGTAAGACGGTTTTTATTGGCACAGCCGGCATTTGTTGAGCATCAGGATTGAGTGAGGGAAGACAAGGTTGGTGGGTAGGTTTGCCCCAGCCCTGACTTGGCTCTCCCGCAGGTGAACCTGTATTCGGACCCGCCCCAGCCCAGTCATAGCATCCACATCGGGATGATGCCCCAGGGGACCAAGGTCTTATCCTTCACCATCCCACAGCCTCGCACAGCAGAGTGGCAGCCGGGTCCCACCAAGGACCCCCAGACCTCAGAGGCCTCAGGTGAGTCTTGGAGGGGAGCCATGGCTGGAGGCTTCCACCTGCCTGTGATCTGCTCTGGGGGCACCTGGTGCATAGCCAGGATGGCACTGACTTCAGGCCAGGGCAGGAGGACGGCGAGCCGCTCCAGGCCCTTTGACTTAAAGAGGCCATGCAGAGATGTGGACAGGGTCTTGCTCTGAGCAGAGCAGCCTGCGGGTGGGGGAAGCCCTGACCCTGCCACTCGGCATCTTGGTGGTCTTGGGTGAGACACAGAACACAGAGCATGTCTTTGGGAGTCATGCTGGGGCCAGGATCTGCACTGAGCCTTGACACGCGTGGTCTCGGTTAGTCCCCACATCAGCCTAGTGAGGTGCACGCCATTGGCACCCCAGTATAGTTCAGACTGAAGCTTAGGGAGGGGAAGACGTGCTGAAAGTCACGCTGTTAGGAAGGGGAAGGGTCAGGCCTCAAACCACAGCTTCCTGAGTTAGAGTCCACGCGACTGGCTAGGAACTCGGAGGCCTGGTATGGCTCCACTCTGGCTATACGACCCGGGGCAGATGTGGGCCTTGCTCTCTCTCCCCTGCAAATGAGGGAACCCCACTCAGCCCACACCACCTTCTTGCGCTAATGTAAGGGTGAGAGGTGGCTGAGCCCTAACACGATGGTGGAGGTTGTGGTTTGGAGGTTCGGCCTCCATCCTTCAGCCCCCAGAAAGCCTGTTCCTGGCCCCAGCTTGAAGCAACTGTGTATTCTAGGATGGCCATCATCGGCTCAAGGAGAGCCCTGCCCCTCCTCGCCCACCGGCTCGTCCACCCCCAGGTGCCTTCCGGGCAAGCAGAGCATGGCTAAGGACCAGTCCTCAGCAGAGTGGACCCAGGCGCTGGCTTCTCAGGCCAGGCAGTTCCTGGCCAAGGTGAGTGGGAGTAGCTCACGCGGGGAAAGCCAGGGCTGTGCCTGCTCAGCAGAGAGGCCCTTGGCGGACTCCCTTGCTGTCTGTCCACCTCTGCACTCTGCTAACTCTGCTGTCCCAAACAGGAGCCTGGGCCAGCAGGTGACGTGGTGGTTAAGGCACTGGACTTCCACATGGCCAACCACAATTCAAGTTCTGGACTCGGCACCTTGAAACATGCATGGACATGCGTGTCCAAAATCCTGAGAGGAGAATGGAGGAGAAGGGATTGCAGCATGCCCATCCTCCTGGGGGGTGATTTCTGACTTTCTGTCTGTCTCTCCAGTGATTGCCTGTGCCCTATCGCAAAAATCTCTCTAAAAAAAAAGAAAGAAAGAAAGAAAGAGAGAGAGAAAAGGAAGGAAGGAGGAAAAGAAAGGGAAGGGAAGGGGAGGGGAGGGGAAGGGAGGGGAAGAAAGGAGAGGAGAGGAAATCACAGCAGGTGCATGGGCATGCACACCCAAAATCCCAAGAGAAAAATGGAGGAGAAGGGACTGTGGCGTGGCCATCCCCCCCGGAGGGTGATTTCTCACTTTCCCTCTCTCTGTCTCTCTCCGGTAAGCACACATGCCTTATAGCAAAAACCTAAAAACAACTAAACAGGAGCCTCTCCCCTGGCTTAGGGACTGTGGGGTGCCAGCTTCCTCCTCGGTGCCCAGACTTAGCCCCTTGCTTTGGCATCTCATCTCAGCAAAATCTCTCCAGCTGAATTTGAGTGTCTCCTGGTCAGCTCCTGGGAGACTGCTCATTCCAGATGCTGAGAGGGTCATAAAACCTCCATTATCGGGTCCAGCAAGTGGCATGGTGGTTAAGGTGCTGGATTCCCACAGGGCTGACTGTGGTGGTTCAAGGCTTAGACCTGGCAGCTTGAAAATCACACCAGGCCCATGTACATGCATGCCTAAAATCCCGAGAGGAGAATAGAGGGGAAGGGACTGTGGTGTGGCCATCCCCCCTGGAGGGTGATTTCTTACTTTCCCTGTCTCTGTCTCTCTCCTATGAGCACACATGCCCTATGACAAAATCTCTAAAAAAAAGCAAAACAAAAAAGCCCTCTATTCTGCCTTTTTCTTTTTAAGATAAATTGTCCATCTTCTTAGTGATTTTATTACAGAAATCAATTCTTAGTTACCTCTCGAATGGCCCTAATATAGTCATCAAACAGTCCAAGTAGCTGAAGTGGCTGCAGGTCTATTTATAACCACATGCTTGGCCTCATGCTGCTAATGCTTCGAAGCAGCTCGTGAAGATACGTATATTTTAACCGCATCCTGAAAACGGAAGTGAGGAAACTGAGCAGAAGTAGGGCAGAAGTAAAGGAACGAACTGAGGGTGCCGTGAGTAAATAGAATGTTCTGTTAGTCCCTGAGCACGTAACAGAATGATTTGATAACCTTTAGCTTTGAGCTTTCTAGCCCCAAATCATTCCTTGTCTTTTTTTTTCTAAGTCAAAAAATGTGTTGTAAAGGTAGTAGATGCAATGTCGGCAGGTGGCGTGGTGGTTAAGGTGCTGGACTCCCACATAGCAGACCCTGGTTCAAGTCCTGGACCTCGTGGTTTGCTTTCTCCCTCTCCTGTCCTTCTCTCTCTCTGGTGAAATTGAAGAAGAATAAGTAAAAAAAAAACTGAATAAATAATTTTTAAAAAAAGGTAGACACATGTGATAGACACACAGTAGGACGGGTCTATTTAGTAAGAAGTACATCTTTTCTCCCTCCCACACACAGCCGTGCCATGCCTACCTGTGTTTATGGACATGGTCACCCAAGTACTTAAGTACAGATGCTATGCTTTGCTTCCACTTTTTTTCCTAGTTTATTTTCCCCCCATAGGGCATGTGCTCACTGGAGATGAGAGAAACAGAGAGAACCAGTGAAAGAGAAAGTGAGAAATCACCCCCTAGAGGGGCTGGCCACGCCACCATCCCTTCTCCATTCTCCTCCTAGAATTTCAGGCACACATGCATGCGCAGTAGAGTTTCAAGCCACCAAGTCCAGGACTCAGAATACAGTCTGCCATTTGAGTCCAGCATCTTCATCACTGCGCCACCTGCTGGCCCCTTGACTTTTTTAATGTCCCAAGTGTGAATATTTATTTGTGGGTGGGCGATGATTTCACATTGTTGAAGAACATAGGGTAGAAAATCTCCCTCCCATCTCTATCTTCTCAGAAGCAATGGATGTTGTGGTTTCTTGACTCCTTCTAAAAGTCTTTTATCATATACAAGCCAATGTATTCATATTTTTCCTTTTTTCCCCTGTATATCTTCTGTAGACAGTAGCATACTTTAAATACTGTCCTGAACCTTGATTTGATGTTGGAAAAATAGGTCTTGGAGACATTTATGCCCCAGGACATATATATGTGCCTTCCTCCTGTTGACTGCATGAAGAAGCATTTAGGTTGTTTCCTGCCGCCCCTGACCACACGGCAGCGAGAATCCCAGCTCACCAGCCTTCCCACACGTGAATTAATGTATTCTGTTGTGGATAAATTCCTGCAAGTCCTACTTTGATTTTTCCCAAGGCTGTTCTGTCTGAGGCCAATGGTAGAGTCTATTTCTCAAACCCCTCTCTCCTCACTTGGCAGAAACTCCACTTCCCAAGGCCAACCTGTTTCTACCAAAGCTGATTATGGGTTAGTGTGGGTTTCTGCAGCAGTCTCCTTTTGGGGTCTGGATTAACGAGTGTGTTTTCTTCCCTTCCCCATGTCCAGGTGGAGTCCTTCGAAGGACTGATGCAGGCTGAACGGCTCACACCCCGGGACCAACTCCAGGTACTGCTCAATTCCGGAGCTACCCTGGGCCCGCAGACAACCAGCGTCCCCAGAACTGTGACTGGGGCCTCTTCTGCTGCAAGACAGATGAGAACCCCAGACGTGGCATCTCCTTATAGAGCAAACAGCTCCAGCTTTGCTGCCCATGACAATCACCGCCGTATCACAATAGTTACCACTTACTTTTCAATGGAATTGGATTTTATCATTTCTTATTTGCATTTCGTTTTCATACATCTTTGTGGGCTGTAACATGGATTTGCAAAGCAGGCATGCAGAGTGCGATCAGCACATCCAGGATAATACCCCATTCATTGTTTTCAGCAAAGAGCACCACGTTACAAAGCATGCCGTTCATTTCGGCTTCGCTAGTTCTTCTTTCTTCTGTTTTTCCTCTCGAGATATCTAGGTAAAATTGGGAGTATCCCTGTTTTCCCTCACTTGTGGTATGCCATCCCACAACCCACTTGCCACGCCTACCTGCATTCTGTGCCTTTCCCGAGCCCCTCCTACCCAGCCCAGGACCACTTACTGAGCCATGGCGGTGGTGTGCCAGGCATGGTGGTGAGCCCTTGAGTGCGTTATCTCATTGTTCTAAGCCTGGTGAGACAGTGGCGGTCATCGCCCCACTTAAACAAGGTCAGACCTGAAGCCCAGAGAGATAGAAAGCGAGAAATCACCCCCCAGAGGGGATGGCCACGCCGCAATCCCTTCTCCCCCATTCTCCTCTCGGGATCTTGGGCACGCACGCACACGCGCCCGGCATGAGTTTAAGCCACCGAGTCCAGGACGTGAACCGTGGTCGACTACGTGGGAGTCCAGCGACATAGCCATTACGCTAACTGCTGGTCCCAAGAAACAGACTAATTTTCTGAAGCCCAGAGTTTTGCAAATCAGGAGGATCTAGGATCTCTCAAGACTAGGTCCCTGGAGCTGGCTGGTGGTGTGGTGGTTAAGGGCGCTGGATTCCCACATGGCCAAACTGTGGTTTGAGTCCCAGACCTGGCGGTTGGCTTTCTCACTTTCCCTTTCTCTCTCTGTCTCTCCTTGGTCAAATTATAAAATAATAAGAACAAATGGAGTTTAAAATAAAGAAATAATTCTTAAAAAAAAAAAATACTAGGTCCTTATGGTGACCTATTTGACACCGTGACTGTCATTGGGGTCCTTGTAGGTCTACCCAGAAAGGGTAGGTGTCCTCTGCAGCTGGTGCCAGTGCTCCAAGTCATACCTCTGATGGCAGAAAGCGTGGTCAGGGTGTGCACCCTGAGGTTCCCCACCCCAGCCTCTGTTTCCCAGGGACTCAGGCCCGGGTGAGTCCCCGGGCCCCCCACAAGCTTTCTCGCCCTGAGTCTGCAGGGACTGAGGCCCTGGGCACCGAGCACTCAGGCCTTGCTGGCCTCATCTGGTTTCAGGCCTTCCAGTGGCTGAAGGCTGCCCACGCAGCCCTGGAGGAAGAGTATCTGAAGGCCTGCAGGGGTCAGCACCATGCCCAGCAGCTCTCCGGCTCCAGGGGACCGCCTGGGAAATTTGATCCCAGCAGGTACTTGACAGTAGGATCGGGGGAGGAGCCCAAGAAGACAGATGGTTCAAGCCCTGGGTCCCCTGGGTCACCAGGAGGGAGGCACTGTGCTCTCGTAATTGGGCACCAGGGAACAGGGACATCCCAGCCCACTCAGCACCACGTCCAAAGGGTGGAGAACTTGATAGTGGAGACTTGCATCCTTCGGCGTTGAGCAGCCGCCTTGGAGAGCGGAGCTGAAGCCACTCACTGGACAGCGGGGAACTGGGGCCAGAGGGAGCCGGGATTCGTTTCATGGGTGACAACATTCAATGGGTCTTAAATGGCACTCCCTGGGGTCCCCACTCTGACACCTGGCCAGGGCTGGCCTGTTGTGGCTGCCATCTCTGCCTCCTGGGGCTGATGTTTCTCCATTCCAGGGAGCTGGAAGCAGAGATATACCATCTGGGAATCCGCCTGGAAGAGCTGAAGGACCGCATAGACCAGACCCAGCAAGAACCTGCGTCCTCCAGATCCGACTCTGCTCTGGCCCACAGCACAGCTGCGCCCTTCCCCCACCAGCCTGCATACCTGCCAGCTCCTTCGGGACAAGCCCCCACGCCGGCCACCCAGACTCCCTACCCCGAGGTACGTCTTAGCCCAACCGTATTGAACTTTCTTCCATGTGTTCATTTCTTCATTAGTTCATGTCTTCACTACGTGTGTAACAAGTGTGTACCATACCCAGGACCCATGACCTGTGGTGGGGAGGGAAAGGGGGGATGGTGGCCGTGACTGGGGATGGTGGCCGTGACTCTTGTGGCACGTTCTGTACAGCTGAGCTAGTTACGGTTGGGTTTTGTTGTGTTTTTCAAATTCTGACAGAGGGTGCCTGCGATCTCTAGAGAAAGACGGAGAGGGAAAGCCAGAAAGCAACTCCCATGGGCATGGCCACACCGTAGTCCTTCTCCTCCTCTCCCTCCTTTCAGGCTTTGGGCACAAATGCACAGGCACCAGCGTGTTTCTTTTTTTTCTTTTTTTTTTGGAGAGATTTTCACTGTAGGGCGCGTGCGCTCGCCAGACAGACAGAGAGAGACATAGAGACAGAAAGCGAGAAATCACCCCCCAGGGGGGATGGTCACGCTGCAATCCCTTCTCCTCCATTCTCCTCTCGGGATCTTGGGCACGCACGCACACGCGCCCGGCGTGAGTTTTAAGCCACCGGGTCCGAGACACGAACCGCGGTCGACTACGTGGGAGTCCAGCGACATAGCCATTACGCCAACTGCTGGTTCCCACCAGCGTGTTTCTTAAGCTGCTGAGTCTGGGACTTCAGCCGCGTAATCGGCCATGTGCATGGTTCCATGGTTACCCTTGTAACTGGCTAGCCTTACATGGTTGTTTAATGATCATTTTGATCCGTGCTCTGAAGGAGACTTACGGGGTCCTGTGAGTAGATAACAAGGTAGCATGACTCCGCTTGCAGAGGGAGGTTAAAGGAACTTTCCTGAAGAAGTAGTATTTTAAGGGGCCAGCAGGTGGTGTGGTCGTTAAGGGCACTGGACTTCCATATGGCTGACTGCAGTTCAAGTCCTGGACTTGGTGCCTTGCTTTCTCACTTTCCTTCTCTCTCTCTACCTCTCTCTCTCTCTCTGGTCAAATTAAAAATAAATGAATAAATTTCATTAATTAAAGTTAAATAAATAAATAAATAAAAGTATTGTTTTAATGAGGTCTGAAGGTAAGTGGAAATTACCAGGTGCAGAAGGAGAAATTCCACCCAGCCCGTGCAAAGGGCTCGAGGCTCAGTCCCTGTGGCTATCATGGGAAGTGAGGGGACTCACAGTGAGCAGTGTCTGGAGAGGTGGACAGGGGTTCTGTGTTGTAGGGGCCCATGGGGTACTCGGGAGCTTGACCTGAACTTTGCAGGGGTTTGCAGGAGGGGATGACGTAGAGGATGTGTAAGTGGGCCGATCTGAGGCTGGGACACGCGGGGCAGATGGAGAGGTGTGCGTGGACTGAGGTGGGTTTAGAAGGTCCATTTGGCTGCCCTTGGAGTGGTGGTGAGAGAGAAGGAAGCCCAGGGTGATCTTGGGCCCTAGCCTGTGGTCCTGGGGGTGCAGGGGGCCACCCATACAGAGGGAGATGCTAGACAAGGGCCGCGTGGGAAGAGGCTTTGTAGTCTCTGCAGTTCCCGCCACAGCCCCTGGAGAGATGACCGCCATTCCTAGGTGAGCCAGTCACGCGGGTGACAAGGTCAGGGCCGTGAGCCGCCAACTCCTTGGTGCTCACTTTAAACGCTTATTTGTCCAGGACTGGAGGAGAAAGGCATTGGTGGGACAGCTAGGACAGCAGAGGTATTGCTGGCCCAGTGATTCAGGGTCTTCCCTCCTTCTGGGCCCTGGCTGGAGGACGGGAGAACTCTCCCAGGCAGCATCACACACAGCAGCAGCAGAAACCTGAGCACATCACCTCCAGGGGCCCTGTGGCCCTGTGGTGAAGGTGTCAGGGGCCAGGCAGCCATCCTGGGTGGGAGGCGGGCGCAGAAGGCCCTTCTGGCAGCGGCACAGCAGAGCTCAGATCTTGGCTCTGCCCCTTCCTCTGGGTGACATTGGGCACATTGTTTCCGTATCGGTCTATAAAATGGTATGCACGCCGGGTGGTTGGACATGATGTCTCCATGGTGCCCACACACAGGAGGTGCCCAGTTCGTGGTAACCAGTACTCACAGTCACATGGTTCAGTCTCGACATTTTGCACACACATACTGACACAAGGGTGGTGGGCTTCACAAGCTGATGTATTTCTCACATCTCAGCACCCAGCACGAGCCTTATGAGGTAGGTGCTTTAAAGAAGTATTTAAGGGGCTGGCCTATGGTCTGGTAGTTAAGGAAGCCAGGTCCCATACGGTTCCCTGTGTGGTTCAAATCCCAGACCCAGCAGCTTGAAACACATGCCAGGCATGTGAGCCCCAAATCCTGAAAGGAAGGAGAAGGGATCACGGTGTGACTATGCTCCATCGGGGGGCGCTTTCTCACTTTTGCTCTCTGTCACACACCTGCACGCACCTGCTGGCAATTTTTGTTTATTAAATAATTGTTGTATTTTTTTATTTAACTTTATTCATTTATTTATTTCAATTTCACCAGAGAGGGACAGGGTGTAAGAGAGAGAGGGAAAGTGAGAAAGCGAGCTGCCGGTTCAGGACTCGAGCTGTGGTCAGCCAGTGTTCTTAACCACCGTGCCACCTACTGGACCCTTGCTGGAAATTTTTTTTTTTTTTGAGAAGTTTTTGCTATAGGGCATGTACACTCGCCCGAAAGACAGAGAGACAGAAAGTAAGAAATCATCCCTCAGGAGGGTAGCCATGCCGCAATCCCTTCTCCTCTATTCTCTTCTCGGAATCTTGGGCATGCACGTGCCTGGCGTGAGTTTAAGCCACCAGGTCTGGGACTCAAACCGTGGTCGAATATATGGTAGTCCAGCGCACAGCCATTACAGCAACTGCTGGTCCCCCTTTGCTGGAAATGTTTAAAAAATGTTTGTAAGTACCTGCTGCATCTCTGCCCCTCTGCCTTTCTGTCCCCAGCCTGCCGCCGCCAGCCCCTGCCCTTTACACGTGAACATGGAGGTGAGCTCTGGCAGCAGTGAGGTGGGGGACAGGCTACAGGCCCTCCCGACCCCACTCAGGCACAAAGAGCTGCAGGTGGAGCAGGAGTTCCATGGCCTCCTGGAGCGGTGAGTGACCCCAGGAGCAAGATGAGTCACCTGACTGAGTGTCCAGCCAGAGGCTGGGTCTCAACTGCCCCTGTTGGGCTGAGGTCACGCCCCTCGCACCTTCTTCTCCAGGTACCTCAGTGTGAAGTCTCTCCCGGAAGCCATGAGGATGGAGGAGGAGCAGCGGGAGGAGCAGGGCGTTTGTACCCTGGAAGCAGACGGGCCGACTCCAGCTCCAGCAAAAGCAGAAGCGACCAGGGTGCCCCCAAGGCACCCCCCAGCTAAGGGTGGAAGAAGTCACGGGGCCCCCCTCAAGTATGTCACTGAGCCTCCCCACATGTCCTAGAACAGATCAGAGCGGTCGTGTCAGCTGAGCTTGACAGCTCCTCGGGGTTTAGACCTGGCCTCCCTCCTACCCGCCAGAGTGGGACGGACGCCGCTGCTGGCCCTGGACACGAGCAGGCGTGGTGTGGGCCGTGATCTTCAGCGGGATGGACGCAGCATTAAATGGCAGTTTCGCCTTCCCAGCCTCTGAGAACATCACAGAGAACGTCTCTGGGCTCTTATGTCAATAACACCTCCTTTGATCTCTCTTTGAAAAGAGAGCGAGCCAGCAGAGCGTGCGTGCGGGCAGGCCTCCGGCCCGCGCCTGTAGCAGGCAGCAGCTCTCTCTAGAACAGAATATGCTTTTCATGTTTCTCCTATTTATTCTCGAAGCTGGTTTCTATTCACAACACGGTAAACAGTTCTTCCATGTATAAAAGCAAGACAGAAGTGTTGCTTTAGCCTGTTTGTTTTCAGAGTTTCTGCTGTGGCGTACTGGGTGACATCCCCATCCCATAGCTGAGAAGAGTGAGGTTCAGAGAGGGAAGGGTCTCGCCCAAGGTTACACAGCTCGATGGGCACCCAGGGTCTCCAACTCCAGAGCTCACATCCTGGGCTGCCGGCTCAGGTCTGGGCCCAGGGATAATGGGCTGCTCTTTCCTGCCAGGGAGGCCGTGGAGCAGATGGTGTGTGTGAAGCCACCAGGCTTCCAGACATCGATGGCCAGAGATAGGTCCTTGCCGGGCCTGGGCAAGGCAGAGGCTGATCCTCCAGGCCCTGGCATGGCACCCCACGCCCTGGGCACCAGGTCCGCAGTGTCGCACCGGAGTAGCACGACCAGCTTGGAGGGCAGCAGCACCTCTGAGCGCCTTCCACGGAAGCCGGCGCAGCGAGCTGGCGGGCCGCCCCTGGAGGTTAGTGCCCTCGCGTGTGGGCTTCCAGCTCCAGGCCTCTGTCTTGCCGTTCCTTCTCATAATACTCGCTGCCCCAGTCCTGCCATCGCTCAGGGCTAACACCCAATGCCACCCTCCTCCTGTCCTTCTGCCAGGAGCCTGGCCCCCCCCACCGAGAACATGGCCCAGTGCCCGTGCTTCCCCCAGCCTGCTTGCCACAGCTGGGGTGAGTTCCTGACCCCAGCTGTCTGTGTCATCAGTGTGTGCACACGCATACACATTCACGTGCATGCACCCCGCTGTAGTCCTGACAAGCTTGTGGTCAGGAGGCCCTGTGCTCGACCGGGAGCTCACCCAGGGCAGGCACGTATGCCACGCGGTGTTCTTAGTGCCTTGTACTAAGACCTGGTGTGCAGGAGGCGGGGGTGTCAGATGGCCTTTATTTTCGCAGTCCTTCGGGCCTGAGCATTTCTGTAGTCAGAGAAGATTGCGGCGCTCCGGGCCCGTGCCCGAGGACACTAGGAATGACTATCCTGCTCCTGTTTCTGTTCCTCATGTGCTATGCTGTCTCCCCAGGGTGCTGGCTGTCACTCCTCAGGGTGGCGGCACTTGCTTAGGGTCCTCTCAGGGTGAGGAGTCCTGAGGGCATGGGACCGTCACACCCTGGGCCTGATGTCTGCTGCTGGGCCAGCCTCCCTTGTCGCTGAGCCCCTGGAGTGTGAGGCCCAGGCCAGGAATTGTGAAGGGCTTCCCAGGGTGCCTTAGGCACATTCCCCGACTGAAAGGGATATGTCTTTTGCAGGAGCCCTGGATGGCATCTCCAGAGACAGACAGTGGCTTTGTGGGCTCAGAAACCAGCAGAGTGTCACCCCTCACCCAGACCCCGGAGCATCGGCTCTCCCATATCAGGTATCCTGGGACCCCCATTGTCCCACAGTGTCTCCCACCTGGGCTGGGCTGGGAATCCGGGCCTGCGATGCTCAGAATAGGGCGAGTGGTCTGGCATTTGCAGGCCCTCGCCCCATCCCCTGATTGTGGTTCTTTGTTCCCATCTTCCGGATGGAAGAGAACAGACGCTCAGAGAGGGGAAGTGATTTGCCCAGCACCACTCAGCCAGCTAGTGCCAGACCAAGAAGTTAATATTTGTTGAGCAAGTAAATGAGCGAACGGGAGAATAAATAAAAACTAGGTGGGGCAGTGTGGGCTGAGCAGAAGACAAGGACAGGGGCACTCTGGGTGGCCACCTGGGGACGAGACTGGGCTGGAACCCAAAGGGAAAGGAGTGGGCCGAGGGGACATGAGTGCAGGGTGCAGTGATGGAGTCACCACCGCATGGCCACCCAGGGGTCCCTGGGAAGAAAGGATTAGGGACTCGAGTTCTCTTTAGAGTTTCCAAAAACATGGACTGAGCATTGTTCTTTCTTTCTTTTTTTAAGAATTATTTCATTTTATTATTATTATTCTTTAATTTGACCAGAGAAGTGAGGGAAGTGAGAAAGCAACCTATCAGGTCCAGGACTCGAACCATAGCCAGCCACGTGGGAGTCCAGTACCCCAACCACCACGCCACCTGCCGGCCCCCGAGTGTTATTTCACACATGGGACAGGCAGGTGCTGGTGCACATGGTACGGAGAGCTGGATGTGTGAAGTGGGTGCACCTTTAGAGACACTGCCAGAGAGGTGGCGCCCCAAAGCCTGGGAGCTATTGGCTGAGTGCGTGGAAGGGCTCAGATGCCATGACCTCGGGGTCTCTGTCTCTCCCTTCATGGTCTCCAGCACCCCGGGAACATTAGCCCAGCCCCTCAGCACGTCGGTACCCCAGGACTCAGCCTCCCACCCCATGGCCAGAGGTCTTCCGGTCCCCAGAAGAGTTGCTGAGCCCAGCACGCCCAGGACGCGAGTCCAGAGGCATCGCTCCAGTACCAGCAGCCCTCTCCAGCAGAGGGCGCCCAGCTTCTGCCTGGAGCGTGCGTTGGCAGCTGAGATGGGTGAGTGGACAGCACTGGGGGGGGGGTCAGGACATGAAACCTGGGGGCCACTGGACTGCATGGACTCAGTAAAGCCAACAGACAGGAAAGCTTGCCTTAGCTCTTAGGGTACAAAATACTATACATGTTCCTTGTGGGGAACTTAACAAAGGGATCGGGAGAAAGCATTGCCCTGGAAACGGTCAGCGCTGCAGTTTGGTGCGTGGTTCTTTGCATTTACCGCACTTAAGCAGAAATGGGATTGTCGCACGTGAATGGTTGGTAACCTCCTTTTCCCACTAAACATGGCCTCACAAACTTGTGATTCAGGCTTTTACCTTTAAAGAAATGCACATGAAAATTTAAAAGAAATATTTATTTATTGTTAATATTTTTTAAATTTGCCACAGGACACATGCACATACCAGAAAGAGAGAGAGAGAGAGAGAGAGAAGGCAAGCCATCCAGTCTGGGACTTGAACCACAGTCAGCCATGTAAGAGTATAGCACCTTAATCACCACACCTGCACATGAAATTTTTATTGGAATAAAACAAACATAGCCCATGGCATGGTGGCTAAGTCAGCTAGATCCCACATGGCCGACTATGAGTCAAGTCCCAGACCGGACGGCTCAAGAAGCACACAGGACGTGTATGCATGCATGCCCCACATCCCGACAGGACGGGAAAATGGAAGAGAGAGTGCAATGAGACTGTCCCCTGGGGGATGCGGGGATGTTTTCTCACTTTCCTTCTCTGTCTCTCTTCATCTTCTCTGGCAAGCACACTTACCCTCTAGCAAAATAACAAACACATAAGCAAAAAAAAAATTAAAGAACATCAGTTGATGCATTTTCACGAAGTGAGCACAGACTAAGAAACTCAACATGATGGGACCAGCAGTTAGCATAATGGCTATGTTGCTGGACTCCTATGTAGTTGACTGCGGTTCATGTCCTGGACCTGGTGGCTTAAACTCACGCCAGGCATGTGTGCGTGCGTGCCCAAGATCCCGAGAGGAGAATGGAGGAGAATTGTGGTGTGGCCATCCCCCCTGGGGGATGATTTCTCGCTTTCTATCTCTCTGTCTCTCTCTGTCTCTCTGGGGAGCGCATGCATCCTGTAGCAAAAATCTCTTCAAAAAAAATAAGAAACTCAACATGATCAAGATGCCAGAACCTTCGTCAAGCTCCTCCAAGGCTCTGTTCCCCTCCCCACCTTTTGACTTTGTTTTTCAAGTTTATTTACTTATTTCTTCGGAGAGAGAGGCAGGCACCCACTGTAGGGTCTTCACACTGCAGTCCGCTCCCAGCCTCGGCCAACCAGGATCCTGGGCACACACACGCCCAGCACACACAGGGAGACTTCGAGACACAAACCCGGGACCTTCCATGTGGCCCTGGCTCCCTGGAGTGCTGAGTTTCCACTGTGCCATGCGGCTTACCCACTGTTTTGACTTCCAACACCTCAGTTTAGCTTTGCCTTTTTTTGATTGTTTATTTTGTTTTGTTTTTTAATATTCATTTATTCATTTATTTTAATTTGATGAGAGACAGAGAGAGAGAAAGCCACCAGGCCCAGGACTTGAACCATGATCCGTCATATGGGAATGTCCAGCACCTTAACTACTATGCCCCCTGCTGGTCCCAAGCTTTGCCTTGTTCTAAGGTTGATTAAATTTTAAATTAAGCTTTTTATTTTAAGATCATTGTAGATTCACGTGCACTTGTAGGAAATAATACCCAGAGATGCCGTTGCTTTTACCGTCTCCCCCAGCGATGACATCACGCAGCGTCATGGCCGGATGCTGACACTCCAGCAAGCTGCAAAGCATGTCCGTCAACACCAGAGCCCCTCCTGTTGCCCTTTAGACTCACCTGCCCCAGAACATGGGGAGATGGTGACAATCTTGGGGGGCCCTAGAGAAGAAGCCCTGAACTCTTGGGTGTTCCTGAAGACTTGGATTGGGTGGGGGGCGGGCATGTTCTAGTCAGAAGCAGCCTGGCAGCCCCACTTCACCCCCACACTCTCTGCACCCATATTCTCAGCACAAACGCATCTGGTTTTGAGCTCAGTGGGTCACTGGACACATCAGGACCTTCACATGTGACCTCAGCTGGCACTGTCCCTTTACCCCTGTCATTCCACCACTGTCAGTCTGAGCTTTGAGGGTCCCCCCTGCTTCAACTTACTCTGATCTCCCTCTGCCTCCCCAGTGGTCCCTGGCTCGGAGTTCGAGGGGCAAAAGCAGATTTCAGAACAGCTGCTCCCCGGCAGGACCATCAGCCCACCTCTGACCCCAGCCCCTGCAGCTGCCCCTCTGCCCTGTGGACTGACCGGGACCACCTCCAGCTTCCTCCTCACCAGGACAGGGCGAGAGTAAGTTGGGTCCTGGGGCACTCTGGATTCGAACTCCCCATCCTGAGGGAGAGAGAGGGCTGGGGGCAGCGAGGGTGGGGCCTGCCCAGCTCACACATCCGGTGGCGGCGGCAGCAGTGGTGGTGGTGCAGGGTCCAGATGGAGCTGGGGTCCTGCCTCCCAGCCCAGGACTGTCTCTGAAGCCATGCTGATCTAGACGTCCTGGACACTTCTCCAGCCCGTGTCCAGCAGTGGGAGATGACCCAGAGGGTCGCCCTTCCAGTGCCGAGACTCCCCCAGCCCCATTGTCCCTCCTCTCGACCAGCCTGCCCTTCCCAGGGGTAGGTTTTCTGTGGTTTGTACCTCACTCAGTGGAGGAGCTAAGAAACGGCTGCGTTTTGTTTTTGCGTTAGATCCAAGTGCAGTTTTTCTCCTAAGGAAGTCGCTCCTTACTTGAACAGAAGTGAGACTAGATCAGTCAGTTCTCTTTCCCCGCCTTTTGTTGCTCTTGGCAATTAACCAGTCACATGCTTTGCTGGATGGGGCAGCTCCTGGACCGCACCGGCTTTGCAGTAACCAATCCGAGGCCTCCTTGGCCTGTGCAGCTGTGAGGCTGTCATGTTGCCTACGGGGTGGAGTCATGTCCAGCTGTTGCCCTTTGGCTTCCTGGTCTGAGTTAAATAAATCCGCGCCCGCAGACTCCCCTGACAGCAGCATAGGAGTGAGAGAGTTGCTCGCTAAAGCGTGTCAGTCCTGGGACTACCATAGTGGACAAGATACTGTCCCTGGCCTTGCAAGCTCATCATCTGTGGGAAAAACAGAGCAGTAGGCAGTTGTACCCCCAGTGTGATAAAGGATAGTGATAGCAGATGCTTCCGGGGGGCTTCCTAGAGGAAGTGGTATCTCAGCTGAGACCAAGAGGAGAAGACCTGGAAGGGTCACTGCAGCAGAGGGAACAACATGTACAAAGGTCTAGAGGTAATAGAATGCCCATCCCCTTTGAGAAGTCAAATGTTCATTATAGCCAGATCCCTGCATGTGAAGTGTTGGAGTGGTGAGTGATGAAGGCACAGAAGCAGACAGGGTAGACCTGGGGAGATCTCGGAGGTCCTCAAGCGCCGTGCTTAGAGTGTTGGGTGTCTCAGCTCAGAGGAGGTGTTCGCTGAACTCATGAATGCATAAAGGCTTATCAGAAGGACAAGGAGGGCGATTTTAATCGAGTCAGTGGTGTGCCCAGGCCGAATGCTACAGAGACTGCCCACCCAGGAGGGAGACCAGGGAGCCTAGACCCAGAGGAGGTGGGGAGGGAATGGTGGGATGCATTAAGAAGAGGTTTGCAGGCACCTGGGCCCAAGGCTGCAGAGTCAGTGGACTTCCCGAGTGTTCAAGGAACAAGAAGGCCCAGGAGACTCCGATTTCGGGCTGGCCACATTCATAGAGGGGGGAGTGAGTTTGCAGGGAAAGATGACTTACAGGTGCCACTTGGCACCCAGGAACCCGAGTTCAGTGAAGAAGGCTGAGACGGAGCACAAACTGCTCAGAGGGGAAGTGACACCCAGGTGGCTGTGCCAGATCCCAGGCCTGACACGCCCCTGTGGGACCCAGAGCCAGAACTCCGCCTTCCACAGGCTGACTAGTGCTGGGAACTGCCGCCCTCCCTCTGCCACTGGCCTCTAGCTGGCCTTGGAAACCCCAACAAGCATCTCCCTGGGGATTGCCAGGGGAACCCACTGCCCGTGGACGCACACTGCACTGGGACACAGCCACTCCTTCCGGCATGCTCGTCTGGAGCTCACGGCTGCTGGATGTGCCTCCAGGAGATACTCACCCATGAGCACAGGGGCCCCCAGGCAAGGACGGACCCTGAGGGGAGCCCCCACCTCAGAAGCTGGCCCAGGGAATGGATGTAGACCAGTCCTGAAGACCAGGCTGCACCCAGCCTGGCAATAATGCTGCTCCGTGTGTGGGGGTCTAGTGTGGGGGTATCTGGGTGCGACTGCCATGTTCCAGCAATGGCCACAGGACCAGGCCCTAGAGACGTGTGGGCTGAGTGGGGAGAAGTACTGTTGGGATTTTCTCCCCTCCCCCCACGCTAGTAGCTCGTTGCTCTACCTGTGAGTAAGAGTCAGGGCTGTGTTTGGGGATCCTGCAGCCTTGCCCACAGCACCCCGCATCTCCACCTGCTGGCACCTCCCGGTCCGTGGGTTCTGGGAGGCTCTGTGGTGTCTCTGCATCCGCCCCCAGCAAAGCCCATTACCCTGCTGTCTCTAGAAGCCTGGGTCCGGTTCAGCGTGTTTTCTGAGTGCCTATGCGGTGTAAGCTCGGGGCTTACCAGAGGGGAAATGCACTCCCCGCCTGCTGCGCTCACTGTCTGACTGGGGACCATAGATGGATGTCTTCTGGCAGGAGCAGGGAGATGAAAATGTTTGGGGGAACCCATGAGGGACCTACTGAGCAGGGACAGGCAGGAGCCAGGCCTGGACAGATAGTCAGGACTGGGATTTTTTCATGGAACTTCGGCCATGCCCTCTTCATTCTGTGTCGTCATCTCTGCCCTGAGAGCGTGGTCCCTGGTGTTCCTGGGCAGGTGCTCAGGCCCTCCCTGTCAGGAGAGGCAAACCTCGGAAGAAGGTTCTCGTTCATTCACTTCATGCACAGAAACGGGAACCCAGAAAGGTGTGAAGGTGTGTGGCAAGACAAGTGGATGCACAGGAAAGTTCTGGAAACATCTGAAGGCAGAGCTGGTCCCTGCACCTGCTGGAACGGGACAGAGGCCTCCGTGTCTGGGCAGCATCTCAGGTGGCCACAGCTCTGTCCATTGTGCCCAGTTCTTCATTGTGGCCTCTACTGCACCCCAGCCAGGCCATCCGGGAGCTGCAGGAAGAGGTGTCCCGGCTCCGTCTGCGGCTAGAGGACAGCCTGCACCGGACCCCCCAGGGCAGCCCCACGCGCCCCACGTCTGCCTTCGACCGCCCCGCCCGGGCCCGGGACCGGCCAGCGGAGTCCTCAGCTGCCTGGGGCCCCCATTATGGCAGGTGGGTGACCCCAACTACCCCCTCTGTGCCCTGGTGGCAGCTGTGGAAGATTGACTTAAGTGAGCGGCTGCCACTCACCCTTGATGTTAGGCTCAGGCCCTGCGCATCCCTCTCACTAATCACTCCTCGCTGTGTTTTTTCACTGTGTTAACAATAAAGCTCTTTGGGGTCAGCAGATGCTGTAGCAGTTATGTCACTGGACTCCCACATGGCTGACTGCGGTTCGAGTCCTGGACCCAGTGGCTTGAAACTCACACTAGGAGTGTGTGCTTGCATGCCTGAGATCGAGGCTATCCCCTCTGGGGGTGATTTCTCACTTCCTTCTCACTGTCTCTGTCTCTTTCTCTCTGGCGAGTGCATGTGCCTTAAAAACCTCTAAAAAAAAAGAGCAAGTAAAATAGTAAAGCCCTTTACAATGAACATCCCTGGGCCCACCACCCAGCTACACAGCTGGAGCTGGAACAGTCCCCGGATGCCGCCCCTCCACCCACCGACTCGGTTTGCCGTTCATCGAGGAGGACAGTAAAACCGGCTCACTTTGGAGCATTTATGTGGGAGAGCACTCCGACACAGGTCTTATGGGCGCTGCCTCAATGACCCTTCTAGTAACCCGCAGACATAATCGCTCTGCTTAGTCCCGTGACAGCTGAGGAGGCGGAGGATCAGAGAGGCTCGGGACCATTTCTGTGAGTCGACTCCAGAGCGTCTGGCTGCCACCTCCGCTCTCTTCCTCCCGTTGAGTCAGAAGCGTCTCTCGGAGTTGACCTCAGACCTGTCATCTTCACAGGCGGTGCAGAGCCACAGCCTGTGACATCTGTCTTCCCTCTGCCTAGTAAATCCACAGAGAGACTGTCTGGTGAGCCCGAAGGCACAGAGCCAGCCGTGCCCGCAGGAAGGCGACGCGCCAGGTCCTCCTCAGTGCCTCGGGAAGTGCCCCGACTGTCCCTGAGTAAGTGACTGCCCGCCACCACCCATTTCTGGAGGCCACAGTGGGGCCTGTTGGCTCAGTGGTCAGGGACTGCAGCAAGCGTGTTCCAGGACACGTGAAGAAGACTTTTAGTGTGTGTTTTAGGCCAGCGTAGTGCTCTGAAACACAACGCACATCTAATCAGAGGTGCGTGAGCTGTGCGCTGAAGGCATGCCTGGGTGTCCGAAAGGACTTCGAGTATCTCACCTTGCTTAGCCTCCCCTGCGAGACGACGCGCCTTATCCACATGAAGCCCTGAGAGCTCAGCTCTCACCTGGAGACATGTCGTTCCAGGGTCTGTAGCCCAGGTTTGACCCCAGCCCCGCTGCACTGTCGCTGGCCGGGCTGTTGGCCTGCTTGGAGCAGTTAAGGGACAGCTAGCTGTGCCGCAGTGGCAGTGCCCGCCTCGCGGGATTGTTGTAAAGGTGCGTTGACAGCGTGCACGCAGATGTCCAGCCGAGGCTTGGCGCACGGCCGAGGTTGTGGTTACGTCAGCTACGAGGACTGAGAGGCAGATCTGGGATTAAAACCCAGGCATCCACCCCAGAGCCTGAACTGGTGATACGCCCACTCCCTGAGCTGCGCGACCTCCCTCCCAGCACCCCCTAATGCCCATCTCTTCACCCCAGGTTCGGAATCGGAGCCCCCCTCCCCCGGGCTGTTCTCTGAGAAGAGCAGGACCACCAAGGAGAGTCCGCCGGCACCTCGGGACAGAACGAGAGGGGTGGGCAGTGCCGGACAGCCGGGCAGGGTCACCTTCCGGGGCCAGTACACAGGTAGGCGGGCGGGAGGCTGCGGCTGGGCACAGGCCCTACGGTCTCTGTGTGAGGAGCCTGTTGCGTTTGCCCAGAGCCATTCAGATATCCGCACTGTGGTACGGACAGCAGTTCTCAGTGCATTGCTCAGCCGTCCGTCCACGCCTTCCCCAGCACACAGCAGATGCTGTAGCAGTTATGTCACTGGACTCCCACATGGCCGACTGCAGTTCGAGTCCTGGACAGCGTCTGCTGCCTCCTCTCGCCAGGCCCGTGCTCGGTTCCTGGTCGATCCTGAAGAGGGCTGTGAAGCACCTGCTGTTTGCCAGACCTGGGCCCACAAGGCGAACACTGAGCCTCGTAGTGTTTACTCTGGCTCACCTTTAGGCGCCGACTCCCCGAGGGCCTCGGCGTCATGAACTAGGTACCCAGCAAGGAAGAAAGCTTGAGATGACACACGGCATTCCAAAGTGCATCATATTAAAAACTATATACAAGACCAGCAGTTGGCATAATAGTTATGTTGCTGGACTCCCACATAGACGACTATGGTTCAAGTCCCGGACTCAGCAGCTTAAAAACTCACGCCGGGCGCATGTGTGTGTATGTCCAAGATTCCAAGAAGAGAATAGAGGAGAAGGGATTGTGGTGTGGCCACTTCTCTGGGGGTGATTTCTTGCTTTTTGTCTCTGTCTCTCCAGCGAGTATACATGCTCTATAGCAAAAATCTCTCTTTAAAAAAAAAATACACACATACACACACACACACACACACACACACACACACAAGCGGTTTTCAAAAAGTTTATGGAAAGTGTGTGTTATGAAGAGACTCTGCCTGGATTTTAAACATTATTGGTACCAAAATGAACTTGTCCTTTCATTTCGTGAAATTTCCATGAACTTCCTGAAGTTCGCGTGTGTGTAGATACGGTTTCTCCCTCTGCGAACCTGACTACATGGCAGAAAAGACAGGAACGAGTGGGTATTGCAGTAAGTGGCCGTCTCCCACTGAGACCCCGCTGAGTGGGAGGGCGAGGACCTCAGACGCGTTCACCTGAGTGCCGGGGATGAGGCAGGGGAGGAGGGACACAGCCCTGCCCCATGAAGCCCTCAGAGGCAGAGACAGAGGCCCTGGAGTTAGACATGAGAGCCGCAGTGAGTCCAGGGCCCAACACGGCCTGCCCAGTACAACACGTGAGCCAGCACGACACAGGACAGCCCTGCAGGGAAGGACCCCCCGTCACTGCACCTGCAGGCACCATTCTGCAGGCCTCATCTGGGACTCAGGGACAGGAAAGCAGGTCAGGGCCAGGTTTTGAAGGACCTTTGGTGCTGGGCAAGTACCTCACTGACAAGGCACCCTTAGGTGGTCCTTCCAGCAAGCCCACGAAGCTGGCCCTGTGGTTCTCCCCATTCCGTAGCCAGTCAGGGCACAGGGAGATGCCAGTGACCCAGCGCAGGCCATTCAGATCCAAAGCAGCAGCCGGGGTCGGGGGAGGGCAGTGCTGGTTACTTCTTACCATTGCCTTACGTGTCCCTGCGTCCTGCTTTGAAATCCCGACACGGGTGTGTCGGTTGGTCCTGTATGTCAGGAACCAGGCTGCTGGTCCTAGAACCCGGGATGAAGCAGAGTAAGAGGCCGGGGAGAGCGTCAGTCAATAGACAGACAGATGTGGTTTTGTGTCTGCCAGCATATGTGCATATTCTCACGTATGTACAAGTGTGTGCTATACATGACGCACGTTAAACTGCCTGGGGCAACCCTGTAGCACAGCAGTTAGGTGCTTCACAGGAAAAATCAGATCCCACGTGGCCAACCACAGTTCGAATCCCACTACCTGTGGCTTGAAAAACATGTTGGGTGCATGTGTGTGCCTGCCCCGAGTCCTGGCAGGGTAGAGAAGCAGGGGAAGGGGACAGAGGCATGACCACACCCCCACCCGGGGGATGCGCTTGCTCTCTCTCTTTTTTCTTCTCTGAGGAGTACACACACCCTCCGGAAATTAAAAACATAAAATAAAAATAAACACACGAAGAAAGAAGAGAAAGATAATCATACCAGAATCCGCCCCAATTCCGTCCGTGCAGTGGGCCGACGGTGACCCTGTGGCTTCTCTCCCCAGGTCAGGAGTACCATGTTCTGTCCCCCAAGGCTGTCTCCAGAGGCGGAGGCACGGTTTCCTGTCCCCACTGCCAGCCCGCCAGGACCCAGGCCACAGGTGAGGCGTGGCCCCTGGGGTAGCACCCATGCTGGGGCAGCTGAGGATGCAGCTTCTCGCTCTCGGGGGAGACTGAGACGTAGGCCTGCCCTAAGGTCGTGGTGGCCGGCTGGAGGGACAGACCAGGGAACGGGATTTCTCTAGGTGTCCTGCCATCGCCCCTGTTGCCCTAGGTACTGCTGCCTGAAGCCACCCTCCCTGATTCAAGAAGTCCCTGAAAGGCCCTGATAGGGGGGACACCAGGCAGCAGGAGCTGGCAGTGGGGAGGGTCCATCTTATGTCTCATCCTCGGTCCCATCACTCCTTAGCTGTTCCCCCAGGCCCACAGGGAGGAGTGACAGGGAGGGCAGTGGCCTGAGAATGTGGACATTGGATTCTAGTCCCAGTATGGCCACTGGTTTACTGTGTGACCTTAGGCTAGTTCCTTGACTTCTCTGAGCCTCAATTTCCACATCCATAATGAAAGGATTGGAGGTGCTGGTCTCTGAGGCCTTGTCAAGCAATGCTATGATGACAGGGCCGCCTTTATGAAACCCCTGCTGTAGACAGGACATCTGAGGGCCTTAGGGACAGTAATCCTCTTAGCTCTGTGAAGAAGGTACTCATTTAGTAGATAAAAAACTGAAACTCAGAGAGGTTAAGTAACTTGACAAAGGGCACACAGCTACCAGGTGGTAGAGCCAGGATTCGAACCAAAGTCTTTGTGACTCCAGAGCCATGGCTCTTCATCACTATGTCCCTGTGCCTTTACCAGCATTCTGATAGGCCTCTCCATTCACTTATTCATTCATTTGGCACCACCCATACTGGGTCCTGGCCCTGTTCGCAGTGACCTCTCAGCAGGACTGACAATAACAAGACAGAGTGACCAGAGCTGGGGTAGGGGCCATCAGGCAGGTGGGGGGGCACATGACTCAGTCTTACTGGGTGCAAGGGCTCCCCAGAGGGGTGCTGACCAAGCTGTGACCTGAAGGAGAAGCGGGCCGGCCCCGGGACTCACCCAGACGTGCTTGGGCGTTTGTGTGGGAAGAGAACGACAGTGCCCACCTCCTCCTGCCCCTGGGCCCCTCCCACCCTCTCTTGTGCCCAGGGGCCACTCCTACGTGGATAATAGGTCTGTCCCACTGTGGCAGAACAGGGACCCGTGTCGGGAGAGCCCGCGCTTGGGGCCAGAGGGCCGCCGCCCCCCAGCTCTGACCTGGGCACGTTACGCAGCTCTCAGAGCCTCAGTCTCCCCCCTGTAACGGGCGGTGACTTGTGGATTGATAAAAGACCGCAGGCCTGACTCACGCTCTCGCCATCCTGGTTGTCACTGACACTGATGATGCGGGAGCAGGCTCCCTTGGGGGGTCCCAGGGAAGCCCGGGGCTGCAGGGGGCTGCTGTGGGGGTGCAGGTCTGATGGCTCAGGCCAAAGCCATTCCCGACACCTCCTCCTCCTATTCCAGGTGGCCCTGCCATCAGGGATCCCCTGGGCCCGACTCCCACCGATGCCCGTCGCTGTCCCCTGTGTGGTCGAGTGGGGTCCCTGCTGGAGACAGACGGCCCAGACTCAGCCCACTCTGGTAGGACTCAAGGTCTGTGTCTCCTCTCAGCCAGACCCTCAGAGCTCCTTGACCAGGGCTCGGGACCGGGGCAGGTCAGCTGGGGGGCGCTGCTCTCCTGACCTGGTCCGAGCAGGGGGTGCAGAGGGCTGTTTCCCAAAGGGAGGGGCCCTCATCTCTGTGCCGTTCCTCCCTCAGGGGCAGAAAAAGCCACCACGAGGAAACACTCACCATCGGCGTCCAGCCCCAGGCAGAGGAGCAAGCGGGCAGTGTCACCGCCAAGGCCGCCCCCTGGACTGTGGTACCTGGCAGCCGCGCCCCCAGCGCCAGCCCTGCCAGCCTGTGCCTACATCTCTTCAGTTCCCGTGGTGCCTTACCCGCCAGCCGCTGTGTAAGAGCCTTCTCTGCAGCCTTCCCGCCTCTGTCTGCATCACGCACACATCAGCGTTCAGGGTCAGGCGGGGAGAACCCAGTGCCGTGTTCTCCTACATTCCCCCCCCCAGCCCCCGTGGATAATGTGCAGGTCAAGCCCAACGCTCATGTAGTCATTCAGCAAACCCAAGTACCAGGAGGGCACTCTGGGGACCCAGCAGTGAAGAAGACAGGCAGTCCTGCCCCCGGGAGCTTACAGCTTCCTGGGGCTCTAGGACCCTAAGTATCTTCCATTTCCTGTGGGCCTTCTCAGCAAGCAAATAGTGAATACTCATGTTTTAAAAGTAAACCGTATTTTTTAAGCAGTCTTAGATCTATAGAGAAATTGAGCAGATAATTCCGGGAGTTCCCATCACCACGTGCCCCCTCCCCCAGGCCCCCTCTATTAACATCTGATGTTAATAGGTACTTTAGGGGCCGACCCATAGCCTTGTGGTTAAGTGAGCTGGGTGCCACACTCCGTGCAGTTCGAGCCCCAGACTTGGTGGCGTGAGAAACATGCCGGGTGCACGTGCATGCGTGCCCAAATCTCCAGAGGAGGGAGAGATGGAGACAGGGTTGTGACATGACCATGCCCCACGGGGGTACTTTCTCACTTTCCACTGTCTCTGTCTCTCTCTGGCACATGCCCTCTGGCAAAATGTAAAACAAAATATGGTATATTTGTCACAATTAGTGAACTAATAGTAATCTATTAACTAAAGTCCATAGTTTATTTACATTTTCTTAACTTTTTTTTTAAGAGAGATTTTTGCTATAGGGCACGTGCACTCCTGGAGAGACAGAGAGAAACAGAGACAGAAAGCAAGAAATATCCCTGCAGGAGGGATGGCCATGCTGCAATCCCTTCTGCTCCATTCTCCTCTTGGGGTCTTGGGCATGCACGCACACGCGCCCGGCATAAGTTTCAAGCCATTGGCTCTGGGACTCAGACCACAGTCAACTACATAGGAGTCCAAAAATGTAGCCATTATGTCATCTTAAATTTTAATCTAAAGTCTTTTCTCTACTTCAGAATCCCATCCAGGAAACTGCATTACTTTTTTTTTTAATTTGCCATAGGGCATGTGTACTCATGGGAGAGAGAAAGTGAAAGAGCACCCCCAGGGGGCACGCTCACCCTGCAGTCCCTTCTCCATCTCCCCCTCTTTTGGGGGTTTTGTGCATGCATGCGCGTGCGCCCAGTGTATTTCTCAAGCTTCTGGGTCTGGGTATAAAGCCACATGGTCAGCGATGTGGGCTCCAGCTGGTCACCGCCAGGCCCTGGGCTGGCCCACGGGAATTATAGATAAACCTGGGCCTCCGTTGCTTCTTACTGGCCATGCCATCTTTAGCTCTCCTTGCCTTTGCTGTGGCGGGCGGCCTTGGGGAGCACGAGTCACCTGCTGTAGGACGACACCTTTCACACATACTTCAGAGTGTGCTGAGACCAGCACAGGACAGACACAGTGAAGGCAGAAATGGTCCAGGGCTCTGCGTTAGACGGCAGCGTTAGCATCTCACCTGCCCCTCAGTGCTGGGCCTCAGCAGGGCCACCTCCCCTGTGGGCCTTCATTTCCGCCTGCTAAGCGGGGATTGTCTCCATCCTCAGTTGTGTGGGGATGGATGAGGCACCTGGCAAGAACCAGGAGGTGCTTGTGGGATCTGGGGGCAATCCCAGCGCGTGCTCATTGCTAGGTGGCAGCTCTGTTGTCACTGTTGCTCAGTGGGGACATTAGAAAGAAGGCAGGTGAGTGAAAACGGGTTCCACGTGACAGGATCGTGGAGGGGAAAGCCGCGGCCCTGCTATTAGACCTGCCTCTTTATCCCACTGTCACCAGCCTCAGTCTCCCCATCTGTGAAATGAATCTGTCAGGACACGATGTCTTCGATGGATGCAGGTGAGAAGCCTGCTGTGGGCAGTGAAGGCTGGAGTAGCCCTGCGGCCGCTTGTTGGGAGCCGAGGCCCACAGCGCCATCTACTGGGGGCCAGGCCCACCGGTGCGGTTTCTTGCTGGCCTCAGCCAGGTCTGGGCCAAGCGTTAAGGCACCTCTGTGACAGCCACAGTGAGCGCCCCTGCTGCGGGCTCAGGCTTCCGGAAGGAGGAGGTGAAAACACCTGCCTCTGCTCCAGGTCACCGAGAAGAAAGGACTGCCTTCATTCGTTGACCTCGCAGTAGCCACGGGGTCCCATTACTTCTGGGGCCTTAATCCATATCCTTCCAGGCCCAGACCTGTGAGAAAAACTAGCCAAGTGGCTTGATTCTGGCTTGGATGGGCCGTGGGGAAGGGGAAAAGCCCTCTGCTCTAAAGACCAGCAGGTGCTGTTTAACCACTTGACTCCTCTGTGCCTCCGTTTCTTCCTTTTGTTGTGAAGATGAAGTGAACGAATGCACAGAAGCCCGCAGCACGGAGAAGGTGGCTAGTAACCACGGTGCTTGTCATGCCGCCATTGTAGAATGTAGCCTGGTGACGCCTTGAAGTTTCTCCTGCAGCCTTAGCAGCACTGAGCATGCTCAGTAGCTCAGGGTAGGGAGCTATTTCAGAAGGTTGATGGGCCTGTGCTGCCACCTGCTGGTCAGTCGCTCCGCACCTCTGCAGCAAAGCCCGAGGGATATTCTACCCCTTCAGCGCTAGGGGGAGTTTGGGGTAACTCTCGGGTCATGTGGGCCACCAGTTAACAGAAGGAGGGGGCATATGAGAACCCCGTGGTTACATCAGACAGTCTCTGACCTGGGGAACGTGGACTGCTGTTTACTGGAGTCCAGAGCTCGTTTACTCAGGTCAGCCACCTTTTCCAGCAGCCTCTGTGTGCTGGTTAGCACGTGTCAGAGACAGGGGAAGTGGAGTCTGGGTGTGACCCCACCACTGACCCTTCTAGCTCTCTAACCCTGTCCTTAGTAGCTCACATTTATGGAGCACCTACTGTGGGACGGTGCAAAGATTTCTACCTGAATTTCCCCACCGGCTCTCCCTTGGGAGGTAGCTCACTCTGGCCATTTTAGGCAGGACAATGGAGCTTTTAAAAAGTGGCATGACAGGATTTGGGGCAGGTCTCCAGGGCTCAAGCTGCCACGTTCTGTGTGTTCTCCTGCCTCTGGAATCAGCTGCTCCGAGCTTCACGGTGCTCATCTGTAAAATGAGGTTACTGTACGTGGGTCCCAAAGACGCCCAGCAAGGGCGAGGCATCGCGGGTGGCTGTTTGAGGACTGCTGGGCTGTTTTTCATAGTGGCCGGGGCATCTAGACTCCTACCAGCAGCGTCTGCAGACTCCCATTTCTTCTCATCCTCACCGATGTTTGTCGCCATCTGTCCTTTCTGGTTTCAGTCATCCCAGAGGGTGTGGAGTGTAGGAAGTGGCAGCTCATGGTGGCGTTTGCGTTTTCCCGATGGCCGATGCTGTCGAGCATCTTTTCATGTGCTTCTCAGCTGTTTGTGTATCTTCTGTAGAGAGAGATCCTCACAGATCCTAGCCACACCCCTTCCCCACACTGCATGCTAATACAAGTGGGGGGGGGGGCAGGAGAAGACCCC